ATAAGTCACTTCTGTCCTGATCTTAATCACCATGATTAAAGTTTTAAATACCAAGTAAACATATTCTTGATCACCAAACTGCTAAGATGCAAGAGAGGAGCTATAAGACTAACCTGGCACCTAGCACTTTGCTCCTGCATCCATTGTACTATATAGTAAGGTAAAAGAAAACCCAAGGAGCCAGGTGCCGATGGCTCACACCAGTAATCCTAGCTACTCAGGAGGCTGAGATGTGAGGATAATGGTTCAAAGCTAGCCCAGGCAAGAAAGTTCATGAGGCTCTTATCTCCAATAAACCACTCAGAAAACCATAAGTGGCACTGTGGCTCAAGTGGTAGAAGTGTTTGCCTTGAGCTGAAGAGCTGAGGGACAGCGCCCAGGCCTAGAGTTCAAGCCCCATGCCTAAAAAAAAAAAGGCGGGGGGGGGGGGGAGATTTGACTTACTGCCATACTGTACATTATTTGGGAACACAAAAAGTTACATCAACAGTTTAACATAAGGTCCACAAGGCACCCAAAGCAGGCAGTGAAAGGAACACAGCTAACACCAATTACAGCCACTCGTAACTCTAATGCTGCCTGTAACTAGATGTCACATGTCTGATTCCTCTGTTCTTACTGGTCCAGCAGTGCAGAGTAGGAACAAAAACAGGCTAAGTCCAGGTCATAGACTAAGGTATACAAATAATTTCCTTTTGACAAGTAGACCGTAAGTCCTTAGTTTAGGGATTTCAGCCTGAAACATGCTTTTATCTTAGATATATTTATCTAGCCTTGTAAATACGTTAATACATGTAACTACTTTTACTTGCTGGACAGCAGCTTGACTACACAATGCCGGCTCTCCTTCTGTGTTGGCTCTGTGTGTCTTTAACGCATAGGTAGACTTGCACTGGGATCCTCTTGGTGTGTCTCCCATAGCTAACAAGCATGTGCTACCTTGCCTAGCCATTGGTTGAGATGAGGTCTTGTCCATTCTTTCCTGAGCTGATCCCCCACTGCATGTCACCCCCAAGTCTGCTTGCCATGTCTGCTCAAACGCTAACCCATCAAAGACTCCCAACGCCACACGGCCACTGTCCAAGTTTCTGTTAGAGGGGAAACCTTACAAACATTACTAAAAGGCATAAAATTAGAAGATTGGGAAGTTTCATTTGATAAGGAAAGTAGCAAGACTTTCATGGAGATTTTCCCCCCCCCCCAGTTGTGGGGTTTGAACTCTGGGCCTGGGCGCTGTCCCTCAGCTCTTCAGCTCAAGGCTAGAGCTCTACCCACTTGAGCCACAGCGCCACTTCTGGCTTTTTCTGCTTACATGGTGCTGTGGAATCAAACCCAGGGCCTTATGCATGGGAGGCAAGCACTCTACCAACTGAGCCACTTCCCTAGCCCTGTTTCTTTTTTGGGGGGGAGGGGGGTCGTGGAGCTTGAACTCTGGGCCTGGGCGCTGTTCCTCAGCTCTTCAGCTCAAGGCAAGTGCTCTACCACTTGAGTCACCTTCCCAGCCGGAGAAATGTCTTTTAATGAGACCAAACTGGCTATGACAAATGGAGGAAGGGTGAGGTTATTCGATGTGCATTATGTAAAAATTGAACAGGGATGGGAGGGAGAAAATGGGGGAGAATGGGTAGGCGGGACATTGATCAACATACATTATACTCATAACCTGACTTAGGAATTGAAACCCCTTTGTACAACTACATTAAAAAAAAAACAAACCTGGCCATTAGAAATCTGACAGGCCTAATAGTTCCAAGCAATCTTCAAAGATGGGAGGTTTTGGACTGATGACTGACTACAGGCAGAATTAACTAGCACAACTTTCACAAATACACAAACATACCCCAGATCAAAATGACAGGTTTTCAGACAAAAAACAATGATACTGATGTTGATAAATACAAAAGGGCTCTTTATGAAGTGTAATCTGGAAATCAGTGTGTAACACATTTGCTTGAGAGCTTTGGAATCTTGGGGACTGCACGTTTGGCGAGAACCTGACTGTTGGGATTGCACTTAATGATTCAAATGGTCTAAGTAATGAAAGACACCAGACCAGGCTGACCCTTCAATCAATTCAACCTTACAAGGTGGCTGCCTGAAACAGACGATTTTGGCAATCGTTGGAAATCTGATTCTCATTTTAGATAAAAATTGGTATGATTTGAATAATGATAAAGCCAGGTGCGGGAGGGGTGGGGGGGAGGGGGGGCTCACACCTGTAATCCTAGCTACTCAGGAAGCTGAGATCTGAGGGTCTAGGCTCAAAGCCAGCCGGGGTGGGAAAAGTCTGGGAGACTTATCTCCAATAAACCAATCAGAAAATCAGAAGCACTGTGGCTCAAGAGGTAGAGCCCTGGCCTTGAGCTGAAGAGCCTGAGGGACAGCACCCAGGCCCAGCATTCAAGCCCCACTACCGACAAAAAAATTAAATACAAAAAGCACGCTTTTAAACATGCACAAAACAACCACTTTCATATGGAGATAGCACATTTGTTGCATA